GACCTTACAGCTCCTCAAAGTTTTAAAATATCTTTAAGAAAAAATGGGCACACTTTTTAGCAAGAGTTATCTTACTTTACTACCCTAAGAAGATACAAAATATAAGCCGTTACAAAACTGTGCTTGGCAACTTTCAAATATCTCGTCTATTTTGAAAATAAACGGGTTTTTCGACTAGTACCCAGTCTCCCAAGACAAATGTATCATTTTAACATGCCTTTCCTTTGAAAAATCTTGACATTGCCAAGCGCAGAAATGACATACTTAACGGCCTTACAATTATGAAACTAGTAGAAAAATGAGGGAAACAAGAAAATGTTTGCCCATTTAAGTTCAAGGGTTATTTGGGCGTGGCGTGACACGTGACCTTATTTGCATAATTGGAGCATACCAAATAGATAAAAACTAGCCGTTTATGTGTCTGACAAGTTTTCAGCTTGCGACTGCTAATTTATCGAAAGATAGACCACCCCCCTACTTTTTGACTTAACACCTGGGGACCCATGCCTTAATTACCTTGAGAAACCTTAAATGAATTGTTGCCCAATTTGCTATGTTTGTTATAATCGCCATTTGTCAAAATGCCCCTTTTTGTCATCTTTTTGTAGATTTTTGTCAAACCTTTGATAACTTCTTGCCAAATTCGCCATCTTCGCAAAATTTGTCATTGTCCTGAAAATCGCCAACTATCAACATGCCCCTTTTTGTGATCTCATTTGAATACTTGGCCAAACCCTTGATGAATTTTTGGCGCACTCACCATATTTGTCGAAATTTGCCTTTTGTCAATATTCCCCTCTTTGTCACCTCATTTGAGGTTTTACCAGATCGTGGGTGGATTCTTGCCCATTTTCCCACATTTGCCATTTTTGTGAAAATCGCCAACTGTCAATATGACTGTTTTGTTGTCTCATTGTCTCAATCCTTGCCAAATTCGCCGGTACGTTTCGCAAAATATGTCATTTTCGTAAGGGCCACAATTATCCACATGCCTCTTTTGTCATCTTGTTTTAATTTTTGCCAAACCTTAAATAAATTTTTTCCACATTTGTCATTTTCGTAAAATCGCCATTTGTCAAGATGCCCCTTTTTGTTATCTCATCCGAATATTTGGCCAAACCCTTGATGAATTTTTGGCACACTCGCCATTTTTCCCGAAATTTGCCTTTTTCTCCTAAATTTGCCATTTTCTCATTATAATCGCCATTTGTCAAGATTCCCCTCTTTGTCACTTCAATTGAAGTTTTGCCAAACCTTTGATGGATTCTTTCCCAATTCCCCGTTTTCTTAAATTTGCCATTTTCGCGAAGATCGCCAACCGTCAATATGCCTCTTTTGTTGGCTCGTTTAAATTTTTTGCTAGACCTTTACATGTAATGAATCCTTTGCAAAATTCGCCAATTTCACAAAATATGTCATTTTCATAAAACCCACAATTATCGACATGCCTCTTTTGTCATCCTGCTTACATTTTTACCAAACGTTTATGAATTTTTGTCAAGTTTCCCCTCTTTGTCACCTCATTTGAGTTTTTGCCAAACTTTTGATGGATTCTTGCCCAATCACCCATTTTCTCAATTTGCCAATTTCGTGAAATCGCCAACTGTCAATATTGCTGGTCTGCACTGGACGTCACGACGGCCATTTTGGTGGTCGAGAACAAAAGCATTTGTCTCCTCTGGGAACCAAACTCTATTTTCATGTTAATTATTCGAGAAAAATTATATTGTATTGATCCCCAACATTGCCGCCTTATCTCGTGGTTGCAAACCAAGAATGATTATTTTGTGGTCTCATTTAAAATTTTTGCCACACCATTAATGAATCCAAATTCGCCAATTTCGCAAAATTTGTCATTTTCGTACAACCCACAATTATCGACATGCCTCTTTTGTCATCTTATTTTAATTTTTGCCAAACCTATAAATTCTTACCAAATTTGTAATTTTCGTAAAATTGCCATTTGTCAAGATGCCACTTTTTGTCATGTTATTTGAATATTTGGCAGAAGCCTCGATGACTTTTTGGCATACTCGCCATTTTTGCCGAAATTTCCCTTTTTCGCCCCAAATTTGCCATTTTCTTATAATCGCCGTTTGTCAAGATTTTCCTCTTTATTACTTTAATTGAGGGTTTGCAAAACCTTTGATGGATTCTTGCCATTTTCGTGAAAATTGCCAGCTGCCAATAGGCCCCTTTTGTTGTCTCATTTAAATATTTTGCCAGACCTTAGATGAATCCTTGACAAATTCGCCAATTTCGCAAAATATGTCATCTTCGTAAGACCCACAATTATCGGCATGCCTCTTTTTTCATCAAGTTTTAAATAGGGTCAGGGTTATAAATATTTTATAAATTCTTGCCAAATTTGCCCTTGTCGTAAACAATAGAAAAGTGAAAAAGCTAAAGGGAATAATTCGCTATTTTCACATCTTCCATAATAGACCTCGTTTTGCATAAGCACGACTGTAATACCCAGGGGAAATAAAGTGCAAGGGTTACGGAAAACTTTTGGGGGGCAAACAAGGCGTGTTATGGGAGATGTGCAAATGGCGGATGTGGAGTAAAAAATCGCGTTTCGTGCTATACGCCACTTCCACATTTCCCATAATGCACCTTATTTGCTCCCAAAATTTTGCATAAGCACTGTTTTCAGTTTCTCTTGGGACGGCTGTAATACCCAGCACAAAAGAAAAACAAAGGTTATGCAAAATTTTTTTCGGGGCAAATAGGGTGATTTATGGGAAATTTGGAAGTGGCGTATATTACATTTTTTTAAAAAAGCTAGTTTGCTTTCGTCTTCATGACTATGCACGATTCGCATAATGTATGCTATCCCTTCTTCATGAGTTTCGTCCCAGAGAGAGGTCAATTCGGTCCTTACTATACTACTTAAATAGAGAGGCACAGCTTTTGATGCACTTTGTACATGGACAACGGATTACCCAATGATTCAAACGCTAGAGCCGTTTATTCCTGGGAAAGTCAATATTTAGGTCAGGTCACGACACGATACCTATTACCGGTAAGCCATTTAAGGCCTCGTTTATATGTAGAAATGTTGTCCGGGGTATAAGGGTTTAGCCGCCCTGAGCGCCAACGTTTCATAAATTTACGTTCGGCTAGAAGGGTACCTCGCCTAGACCGATCACCCTTTCGACGGCAGGAGACCATCGTTTCTCCACACAAACACTTTTTGAAAGCATGTGCGATCGTAGCCTGCGAAAGCAGCCGTTTCCCCTCGCTCTTCGCCGCTGGGGACGTTTCGCGAGGAGGAACGTCTGCGACTCAGCGACAGAAATTCCATACTGATGTCGTAAAATCTGTCCTGAATCCGGTCATAAGCGCTGATTGGACGACAGAGTAGTTACATTGTTTTAGCTATTGATTACGAATGACATCAAAAGACAAAAGGGCACAAAAGTCAAATTTAAACGCGATGAATCTATAACAAAACAGCCAATACTTGTGGATTATATTCTTCTCTAGAAGGAGCATTCAGTTTTTCTAGAGCTCGTTCGCAGATGAACAAACCACTTTACCAAAATCGAGCAAGAGAAACGTAAAATTGAACGAATCTGCATTTGGAACCCCATGACTACCGGATTTATTATGTAAACAGATTTACGTCAATAGTATGGAATTTCTGTCGCTGAGTCGCAGACGTTTCTCCTCGCGAAACGTCCCAAGCGGCGAAGAGCGAGGAGAAACGGCTGTTTTCGCAGGCTAGCGCCATCGCTGTTTTAAACAATCAGAGCATGCGCACGCGCAGTTAGCTAGGGCAAAGGGTTTAGTTTTATTCTCATAAAATTGATCGCTAAAGGAAGAGAGACCCTTTTTCCCGGGACAATTTTCTTCATATAAATGGGGCCTGTAAAGTCAGTGTCACCTTCGCTTCCCCACCAACCTACAGCCTGTGGTCAAGTAGGGTACGAGGGGACGCAGAGGGACCTATTTAAGGGTGAATGAACTCGTTATAATACCATGGCCGTCCATCAAACCCCCAGTTATAGATGAATATAAAAGCAACTAGTTAACCCTTACAAAAATGGCTCTGGGTCAGTCTATACATCAGCGAAAAAACTGCATGCTTTTAACCCTTCCATATGCTTAATATAAAATCGTTCGTTTCTAATGCATGTCTTGATACCCCTGTACCCTGAGAGAAAAGGAGGTGCAACAGAGATAAAATTCCCCACAGGTTGGCATCTATACTATAAGCAAACATTCAGATGCTGTAAGTATGAGAGGAGCACGATTGATTCATGAAAAGTTCAAGATCTGTTCATTCAAAGAATGCTATTCCCTTTTAAATTTTCAGTTTATGGCTGAAAAAAAAAACATGTGATATGCCATTTTCCCGGTACATGTAAGTTAATACATTATGTTTGGTACGTGATTTCACCAGCATTGGTGATGGAGATACGTAGAAATAATAGCAACACATGCACAACTGCTGAAGAGACGTTATACAAATTAAATATACCAATATACAAAATACAACCGGACCATACTAATGACTTAATTTTGAACATTTATTTTAGTTGGTTTACACCATGCACTGAAAACGAGGGAGAACCCTTCTTAAGATCTAAATTGAAGGAATCCATCCCAAGTATATAATGATAATAATAGTTAATGCTTACAGTGTATTGGCAGGGCTGTCATTAAGAGCCGGGGGTCTGGGGATCTCCTCCGACTACTATGAATGTGGTCCCCGGCCACTTTCATACGAAAATAGAAGAAAAATAGAATCAAAAGAAATCCCTAGTCACTAAGCTGGAGTAACACCCCAACGGAGGGGCTCAGCACCTTGCCAGCTCAGCGTATGTTTGGGCAATGTATGCGAACCCACCTTCAAGGAGCTCTTGCCATTGGTGAAAGGCAAGACAGTCAGACTAATGCCACTTCCCCATTGCAAGAGCCAGACATGGTTCAAAGCAGAAATAGAAGAACTAGCAGATGTGCGATCCTATAAAGTGAAGACAGAAGATGGGAGAATCCTCCGCAGAAACCGCAGACATCTCTGCAGGAGCAGAGAGCCATTCTACAGCTCACAACCTAGCGAGGCCCCTGTAGCCTTGCAACCCCCGGATATGGCAGCCTCTCCAGAGAAACTCCAAGGACCTCAGCCAACAGAAGGTCAGTCATTCCCAACAGGGCCAGCTCAGGGGGACCAGTCTAAACAGCTAACCAAAACCCTGTTGCAATACCTAGCAAGGCCCAACCTCTGTGAACAACACTTAACAAGTCTAGGCCAGTTGAAAATAGGATCACAAGAGCTGGTCGGTTGTCAAAGCCACCTGGCTATTTAAAGGACTATGCTTGACTACACCTGATGATTGTAAGAGACAGTTAAAAAAATGTTTTTTCTCTCTTTCGTTTTCTTGCTTAGACTTTCAACACTTTTGAAACACTTGACTTTGCTTGTTTAAAATGTTCTACGTTCAGTGCTTTGGCTGATGTTGTTGGGCTTTCACCAGTTATTAAGTGCCCATCGTGCAATGAAGTTTTTTTTTATTTTCATTTTATGTTTTTAAAAAAGAAAGAAGGAAAGGTGTCATGGTAGGTCTGTGGTTGTAAGCCACGTGACCTAAAATCAGGTGCTTTAGTAGTAGTTTTGAGGCGGCCATCATTGACTTTGTCCTTATTAAGCGTTTGAGACTGCTATCGTTACACTAATCATTAAATTGTGCAGAGTCTCTGAGAGCTTTGATGTTGTTGAGAATTAAATGACAGCACTCACGGTGTCCTCGGTGAAAAGTCAGTCTCCAGAAAAAATGCATAATTTTCTTCCTGGTAGACCTTCTTTGTTGTATGTGACCACCTGGAAATTCTGCACAATTTCCAAATACTTCTTGCACATAATCAACGACCACCAAGATGTTTCATTAGGCTGGTACAAGATTTTGAGTGATAAATCATCTTACCATAACTTCACCTAGTAGTGAATGTTACTTTCCAAGAGTCGATAAAACAAAAAATTCAGAGTCTACAGCAATATGCTTCCAACAGCAGAAATAAGTTGATCTGAAAACCTGTTCTGCAAAAAGGCACGTCTTCCGTTGCGTTTTATTTATTCGCAGGCTAAGTAAACATGAAGCGTCTGCCTGTAAGGTTTGGCCATTGAAAAGTGCAATTGATCGATGAGAATTTTCTTTTTAAGTTCCGTCTCGTTCTTATATCATGTATAACTTACCCAAAACATCACTAGATAGCGTCACCGGAGCTATTAAAACTGCCAAAATTACAAAAGGCCAAACGTTTACCATCAACATTTCCAGCTTTGAACGTCAGTCTCGAAATGGATGGATCGAAACCAAACTGTATTTAATTTGATGAGGGAAGCATAAAAATTACTTGCCCACATGGATTTCTGATGAATTAACGAGTTTGGAATTTGCTTTTAGACAAGGCTATCAAGTTCTCCCACGAATTTCCTTTGTTCTTCTTTAAAAGCCTCAAATTGAAACTTACTCAAGCAAATCAAATGGACCTAAAGAATTCTTCAATAAACGTTAAGTAGTCTCAATGAGGTTAACTAATAAGTTCATTAATTTTTTTTTGTTAAGGTTAGTCAAAAAAATTGAAAATTCCTGTTAATTTATCAGAACCATTTTCCTCCTTTTACGGAACATAATTGGTTGCTTTTAGTACACTTTATTCCACTGAAGTTGCAAAACAAATAGTAGGTGTTTAAATATGTATCAAACTTCCCCGTAAAATTTACTGTGAGAAAAGATTTGAAAAAGAATTCTTTGTTTTGTACTGAAAACGTCTAAAATTATATGCTCTAAAAAGCTCTTTCTGCTTTTTGCTGAATGACTGATGTTTAGGTTTGGGTGTCTTCAGTATCCTGCAACGGAAACCTTCCTTCTTGAATATCAAAAACCTCATTGAACGAAACCTTGCATAGGAGAATCAAATCAGTAGTTTGGCGAAAGAAACCATTTCTTGTTGAAGACCTTTGATCAAACTAACGGAACTCCTGATATTGCCGTTATCAAAACCCACGTATATATTTTTTAACTTTTAAAATGAAGAGCTGATAAAGGATAAACAAAAATCCTCTTGGATAGTTTTTGCATCCGAATTAATAAGTATCAGTTGAAAAGTCTACTCCAGCCAGTTGTGAACATAAAAGCAATTTTAGTCTGATATTTCCCGAAAATGTGGACAGACATCCTGTGTATACTTTTTACCATTTCGTCGCAACAACACTAGATTTTCGTGAAATGTAGTATTGAAAGCGTCTTAAAATATGGAATTTGTTCAAAGTAGAAACTGTGGCAAACAGTTAACACTAATATTTTATTTTCGCACATGAATCCTTGTAGATATTAAGATTACATTATCTTTTCAGGATCGGGGTGTGTTTTTTATTTCTTGTTTTAAAGAGATCGGTTTCCTTTAGTTAATATTTGCACTCTAACTATACGGACATTTGAGTAAGGAAAAAGTTTTATAGGTAGTTACTTTCACTACTCCTGGCTTTTTCAACTTCTTTGTATCACTGAAGCGGACAGTCATCGGAATATTTGCGTCTAATTAAAGGGAAACTCAGAGAAAAACAAAATGATTAACAAGTGCGTGAGACTGCTCAATCTAGTCACGAAGTAAAAGGTCTTTTCAGAGTATTTATTTCATTCGCAGATGAAATGGAACCTGAATTTTGTTTCATAAAATGACTGTACAATGGTGAAAACCTGGAGAAAACTAAATAAATAAACCGTTTGCTTATACCAGTAGTAGGAATATTCTTACATACATTCAGGACACCATGTTTGTAAATCTCTATACTGCAGTCATTCAGTCTAGAGTTGTTTCATCGTTTGAGTAAGCAAGTGGCACCTTTTTAAATTTTTTGAGTTTTCTACCCGCGCTCGAGTGAAGAAAAAAAATAACTAAGTGTTCATAAAACGCTCTTTTTTTTCAAAAATTAATTGATGATGAGTTCTCAAGTTTAAGACTGTAAAAATCTTGTCATGCGCATTTGAACATTTCATGAAATTTGCACATTAGAAATGTTATTATTATTAAAAAAACAACAACAAAAAAACAAAAACAAAAACTCAAAACACTGAAAAAACCATGGAAAGTCACTGTTTCTAATAAATACTTGCAGTAGTTAAAGAGCCCCATCACTATGCTTAGTAAAACTTTTAACTATATGATGGGATAGTTTGTGTTAACTTTATTATATTTAACAATAAGATTATGAGCTCGAAGTTTCTGCCAAAGTTTCAAGACAATATTTGACAAAATTGATTGGCAACTGCGTGTAAGATTTGACCATTTAAATGTACAATTGATCGATTAGAATTTTCTTTTTTAAGTACCGTCTCGTTCTTACATCATGTTTAACTTACCCAAAATATCACTGGATAGCGTCACCGGAGCTATTAAAACCGCCAAAATTACGAAAGGCCAAACGTTCACCATCAACATTTTTGCAGCTTTGAGAGTCAGTCTCGAAATGGATTGATCGAATCTAAACTGCGTTTAATTTGATGATGGAAGGCTAAAAATTACTTGACCACATGCACGTAGGTTTTCTTCTTAAGTAACCTGTTTGGAATTTGCTTTAGACGAGGGTATCAAGTTCTCCCACGAATTTCCTTTGTTCTTTCTCAAAAACCTCAAATTGAAACTCGCTCAAGCAAATCAAATGGACGTAAAAAATTCTTGAATAAATGTTAAGTAGTCTCAATGAATCTATAGCTATACTATAGCTCGTTAAAATTTTGCTATTAGGTTGAGTCAATGATGTGACATTTCCTGTTAATTTATCAGAAACATTTTCCTCCTTTAGGGGAACAGAATTCGTTCCTTTTAATTTAGTGCACTGAATCCCATTGAAGTTGCAAAAGAAACAGTAGGTGTTTAAACATGTATCAAACCTCCCCGTTAAATTTACAATGAGAAAGGTTTGTGAAAGGATTCTTTGTTTAGTACTGAAAAAGTCTGAAATTATCTGCTCTAAAAAGCTCTTTCTGCTTTTGTTAGATGACTGATGTTTAATGT